TCTGCTGCAGGACAAACTCTCCCAGCTGCACGTGCCCGACTCCACCTGCAAGTGGATCACAGACTTCCTGTCTGACAGGAAGCAGCACGTGAAGCTGAGGAAAAACATGTCTCAGCCTCTCGGACCATCAGCACCGGTTCCCCCCAAGGCTGCGTTCTTTCCCCTCTGCTCTTCTCCCTGTACACCAACAGCTGCACCTCCAGCCACCAGTCCGTCAAGCTCCTGAAGTTTGCGGATGACACCACCCTCATTGGACTAATCTCTGGTGGGGACGAGTCCGCCTACAGGTGGGAGTCTGACCATCTGGTGTCGTGGTGCAGCCAGAACAACCTGGAGCTCAACGCTCTAAAGACAGTGGAGATGGTTGTGGATTTCCGGCGGAACAGAGCCCCACCCTCCCCCATCACCCTGTGTGACTCCCTCGTCACTATTGTGGATTCCTTCCGCTTCCTGGGCTCCATCATCACCCAGGATCTCAAGTGGGAGCTGAACATCAGCTCCATCACCAAGAAGGCTCAGCAGAGGTTGTTCTTCCTGAGGCAGCTGAAGAAACTCAACCTGCCAAAGACGATGATGGTCCACTTCTACACGGCCATCATGGAGTCCATCCTCTGCTCCTCCATCACCGTCTGGTACGCTGCAGCCACAGCCAAGGACAAGGGCAGGCTGCAGCGTGTCCTCCGCTCTGCAGAGAGGGTGATCGGCTGCAATCTGCCGTCCCTGGAGGACTTGTTCGCTTCCAGGTCTCTGAAGCGAGCTAAAAAGATCGCGGCCGACCCCTCCCACCCCGGACATAAACTGTTTGTGCCCCTTCCATCTGGCAGGAGGCTGAGGTCCATCAGGACTACGACCTCCCGCCACACGAACAGTTTCTTCCCGTCGGCAGTCGGGCTCATCAACAGAGCCGGTCCCCCACTGCCTGACTATAACACTCCACCGGTCACTCCCCTTCACACTGCACATGCCACTTTAACTGCAATTCATCACTTTGTCACTTGTCACTTTGTCTCTTGTCTGTTACTTGTTTGTTAGTGCACTTTATGCTTAATACTTTTCTTTTTAACTTTTTAATATTTAAAATTTGTTTAACTTTATTCCCTTGTTTTATACTAACCCATAGCCTTAGCCTTATTCTTACTAACCCATTGCATTAGCATTTCATTCCACTTTATTTTATTACCTGTGCACTGTTGTCTTGTCTGTCTACTGTCGCGCACTAACCGCCAAGACAAATTCCTTGTATGTTTGACATATTTTGGCCAATAAATGTTTCCTGATTCCTGATATACACACACACACACACACACACACACACACACACACACACACACACACACACGAGATATAACTGTACTAAGCGCGTCAGTGTTCATAACGTTTAATCTCTCAGACTGATGCTTGTTCTCCGGTAACGTTCCGTCTCTTTGAGAGCAGAGTTCAGATGTTTAGAACAAGCTGCTCACTGTGGATACAGACAAGATGTTCAACGTTAACGTCCTGTCTGTATCCACAGTGAGCAGCTTGTTACTGTCCATCATTGAGCATTAAGACTAACAATGTTTTAATCAAAGGACACGAGGAGACCGTCATCGAGACTCTAAACCGGCAGCTTCAAAGAGACTTTTTTTTACAAATATGAATTATTGAATTTTCTCTGTAAGACATTTGATGTGTGGTCGTCTGCTTCCATTTACTTGAAAATGTTTATATTTATTTCCTTGTTTGCGAGAGTTCACACATTGATCAGTATCATAGATATTAAATCTGATGTTAATCCCTAATGATGTCATCTTACTGTTGCCTCATTGATCAATGTATTATAGACATCAATCAATCACTATTGAAGTAGAGACACAGAGGAGGTTCAGGTACATTTGAATTGAATTTACAGTGATGTTTGTGCATTTAACTGGACGAGGACGACACACTGATGATCCTCCTCTTGATGTTTGAGTCACAAGGAGAAGTTTGTGGAATGTGTTACTATCCAGTAAAACATTAACGGATTCATTATTGTTGCTATCAAACCTTATGAAACCTTTATAGAGCTCATGTGTGATGTAATACATCGTGCGTTTCTTCCATCCAATAATATGTTAAATACACTCCTGTCAGTGTGATCCAGTAAAGTTCAGCAGCACCACAAACTACAGCTGCTCCTCTGCATCTTCTTCAGATGTTCTACTGGACAACGACTCTGATCTGACACACTGAGATACTTTGGCTGATTATTTTGTGTCTGATAGAAATAAATAACAGTCAAGAACTGTATCAAAATCCGTGGTGACGTCATCACGTCAGCTGCTGTTGAAGGTGGAAATGACCGTTCTCTGTTCTCTTGAACCTGTGAGTCCGTCTCCTGACAACACGAGTCCGTCCTCAATACCTGAGACCCTCACCTTACATCCACAGGGGGACGGACATCTTTGAATTTTAAAGGAGCATCCGTAGACCGGTTACTCTTCATGGACACACAGCTGGGTGCAGGTCCAGACACCGGACCAGGTTGAGGATCAGGTGCAGGTCCTGGTCTCTGATGGGTCCTGGTCACACATGTAGAAGCAGAGTCACTGAGTCAAAGACGTTGGGACATGGAGACGAGTGGAGGACAGTTGGAGATGGTCCTCTCACCTCTGAGCTTTGGTCCTGCTGTCATGTTCCCCACACAGAGGAGCTTCAGAGGGACGGACTCCGTCCTCTGGGTCCTCAGCCTGATTCATAGCAGAGTCCACAGCTTCACAGCTTCACACCAACCTGCTGGGAGAACTCACACGTTATTGAAAAAACACAAATTTCGTTTCCATAAATCCTATAAAGCGAAATAGAAACACAGCAGCTGAACCAGAAGTGCACATTTTCACAGTAAAAGTCCAGGAATGGAACGTTTGTACACCAGATATTCGTCTGTGATCCAGCGTATAGCAGGGCAGCATATGAAGAAACGTTAGCTCGTTAATATAAATGTATGTAGATTATTACAGATGTTTTTGTAGCCAAATTCAGTCCAAAGGTTTGGACACTTTCTCATTGAATCGAATGAGTAAACGTGTCCAAACGTTTGACTGTTCATCTCATTTAAGAACCAATCGGTGTGGTTGAGGTTTGGGCTTTGGGCCGTTTTACAACATGAATGCTTTGATGTGAACTATTCCATTGTAGCCCAGGCTGCATGTTTAGGCTCATTGTCCCATTGTCCTCTATTTGGCTCCGTCCATCTTCCCCTCATTCATTTTCTCCTGGTCCTGCTTGTCAAGGGCAAGGACAAGGGCAGGCTGCAGCGTGTCCTCCGCTCTGCAGAGAGGGTGATCGGCTGCAATCTGCCGTCCCTGCAGGACTTGTTCGCTTCCAGGTCTCTGAAGCAGCTAAAAAGATGGTAGCCGACCCCTCCCACCCCGGACAAAACCTGTTTGTGCCCCTTCCATCTGGCAGGAGGCTGAGGTCTATCAGGACTAAGACCTCCCGCCACACCAACAGTTTTTTTCCGTCGGCAGTCGGGCTCATCAACAGAGCCGGTCCCCCACTGCCTGACTATAACACTCCACCGGTCACTCCCCTTCATACTGCACATGTCACTTTAACTGCAATTCACTCTGTCACTTTGTCGTCACTCGTCACTTTGTTACTTGTTCGCTAGTGCACTTTAAACTTAATATTTTTTTACTTTTTTAATATTTAAAATTTTTAACTTTCACTTTATTCCCTTGTTTTATACTAACCCATAGCCTTATTCTACTGACCCATTGCATTAGCATTTCATTTTACTTTATTGTATTACTTGTGCACTGCTGTCTTGTTGTCTATTGTCACACTGTCTACTGTCACGCACCAACCGCCAAGACAAATTCCTTGTATGTTTGACATATTTTGGCAATAACTGTTTCCTGATTCCTGGTTTAATCCTTCATAGACTTGAAAGCTGAATAAGTTCTGCAGGGGTTGAGGAGCAGGGGGTGTCAGACCCAACTGCTCTGTGGAGGAACCGAACATGTTGAGGGAAAGAGGATGTTACGCTCAGCTGGTGTGGAGACACTCGTGGTGCTCTACAAGTATTAGTTTGGAGCTGTAAAACATCTGCCATATAAAACTCTTGCCCTCATAGAGGTGGATTTGACTTTGTTACGTTTAAGCTAAAGGAGGTAAATGATTCTGCTTTCATCCGTCCAAAGTCCGGCCCGCGGTCACATTTTATTCGGCCCGTGGCTTCGCTCTCATAATGTGTTATTTATGGCTCGCTGGCTCCGTCAGAATAAATAAATCCTGTAACTTTAAACATGTAATTCCCCATTGCGATACTGTGCATCGATGCCGCCAAACCTTCTCAAATCATTTCCGCCATGACGACTGCAAAGAAGAAGAGAAGTTGACAGTGAGGGACGCCGCTTTCAGGAGCAGTGGGATTAAATACTTCTTTACTGAGAGTCTGTTTAATTTGTAAAGCGACGGTTGCCTAGTTTAAGGATTTCAACGTAAAGAGACACTATGAGACTAAACGTGCTACAACTTCAGACAAGTGACCGCGCTGACGAAGTGAAGCAACTCCAAGCTGCTCCGGCATCTGGCCTGTGAGTCAAACGAAATCACCAAAGGCAGCTAGGAAGTGACCTTGTTAGTAGCTGAACATGGAGAACCTTTACTGCGTTTATCAAAGACTGCGTCATGAAAATGGTGGAGAACGTTTGTCCCGAGAAGAAGCAGGAATTCATGAATGTTTGCCTTCAGCACGGAGAGCAGAGGACATCTCGCCAGAGCAGAGGACATCCCGTCAGAGCAGAGGACATCTCGTCAGAGCAGAGGACATCTCGTCAGAGCAGAGGACATCGCGTCAGATCTGACACTGCACAACTACTACTTGTTGAGGAGTTGATGACGACATGAACGTGACAGAGGAGCTGCTTGACCTTAAACGTCTTAAAGGACAAACCAGAGCAAGCGATTTATTGGTCTCCGTTGGCGAAGCTGTTGATGGTATGAAACTAGCAGGGAGTGAAGTTTCTGGGATCATTAGCGATGGTGCGTCTGCTGCTGGTGAGCGAAGTGGATCGTCCACACTGATCGGCTATAAAAGTCTGCGAAGAAGCAGGTGACTCCATGAAACTTCACTTCTTCTCTGAGGCAAACATCTCAAATGTGACGATGTTATGAAACCAGCGGCAAAGACCATCACTTCTACTCGCTCTAAAGCTCTGGACCGCCGACAGTCAGCAGCTGGTGTGACATCCAGGCTGAATACGGTGACGTAACTGATCACAGCGATGTGAGGCGGCTCAGTCGAGGCTCCGCACTGCAGCGGCTTTTCTCTCTCAAAGAGGAAATTGGACATTTTTTGAGTGAGAAGAGACGACCGGTGGAAGAACTGTCCCATGGCCCCTTTGGGCGACATAACGAAGCATCTGAATGCGCTGAACGTTACTCTTCAAGGAAAAGATGCAGTGACCAGCTGTGCGCTCACGCCGAGGCCTTTGGAACCAAAGTGCAACTCTTCCAAAGACACTTGTCCCAAGCAGAGTCCTGCACTTTGTCTCTTTGTCTCTTTGAAAGAGGTCGTTCAGTTTCATGAAGAGTTATGCAACAGCTCGCATCTCTTTTTTGACGGGATTCAACAAAGGCGTTCGGGCCTTTGCGGTTATTGAAAAGGACGTGTTGCCAAGAGCACAAGGATTACACAGTGACCAGCGCCAGTAGCTAAAGAGACGCCGTTAAAAGCTCTTAAAGGCGCTGATTCTGTGCTGTGCAGTGTTTTAAAACACGATTGGAAAATATCAAGAACATTTTGCTCATTTAAAAAGTCCATGAGCTGCGAGTAGACAATCGTCTCTCAGATCTTTGAAAGGAAGGACAGTTTAGAAATGGGCCTAAAATTAGCCGTAACAGCAGGATCCAGTCCAGGTTTTTTAATCAGTTGCTGCACAAATGCGTGTTTGAAATTTACAGGAACCACAGACTGCTGTTAATGATGCGTGTAAATATGGCCCAACAGCAAGGAAAAGCTCCTTAACAAGAGGAGGAACAGGGTCATTGGACGAGCCTGATGCCTTTAAACGTCCCATAGTCTCCTGCACTAAAGAGTCAAAAGCAGCGTGACAAGGAGGGCAGAGACCACCTCGTCCGAGCCGGCCGACGTCGAGACACAAAGGCAGCGCTACGCGTCCACCGCCGTCAGGACGCCGGCGTTTTCGCCGAGGGAGCGGTGCTGACGGGCGGCAGAGGTTTGCCGGGATGCCCGGCAGGAAAGGAGGCAACCTTTGCTGTTCAGGATGATCCAAGACGAGCAGATCTACAGCAGAGATCCTCAGATCGACCAGCGTGTGGCGCTCGTTCATTCTGTGCAAAGTGTTAGAAGCAATAAAAACACACACAGCATTCAGAGCGCCTCACACACCGGCGCCATCACGAGCAAACAGCGTCACCTTTGACCTCTGTGCTTAAACAAAGGTCAGAATTACCTATTGGCCCTCAGGCATCTTCACTTTATCAAACGTCCTGACGTCCACAGAGGACAAGGACTCGCTACCTGGAAGGGGATCGGATCACTGGAGCCTCTATAAAGGTCACCAGGGCTCTCGGGGTCACTGGGACCTTTGACTGCTGATGAGGAAGTTAATCAGAAGTACGTGAGCATCGGCCCACCGCTCCAGAGGCCCCTCTGAGGTCACATGACAGGTCACATGGTGGCAAAGAGAACCCGTCCGTCTCTGTCTGGCTCTCGTCTCGTCAGGAAAGAAATGTCAAATATTCTGGAGCAGAGGTCTTCAACAGGGGGGCTGCGGAGCTGCAGGGGGGCCGCCAGACTTGTGGTCGTCTTGAGAATCAGAATTGTATTTATTGTCTTTAAATACACATTAACATGAATCCAACATGTTGTAGAAACGGATGATTTGATGGAGGACACGTTGTCTTTCTGTCCCACAGCAGCTCTCATGCTCACACAGTGACGGAGGGGGGGGGTTAAAAAATATAAATCCACCCAACGCAACGTGTGGCGGCCGGTGTTGAATCTGTGACCCACCAACACAAACGAGTGTGTGCGGGAAACACTGTGACACGACATCACAGGCACCAGCCAATCACATCTCTTCATGCTCACGTCTAAATGGATAAAAGACGGGGGGCCGAACGTCTTGGTAGAATAGGGGGTCTCTGCTCCATCTCACCATCAGCTTGAGGGTCCTGACCTGAAAAAGGTTGAAGATCTAAAGTCTAAATGTCTGAAGTAAAGTCACACAAGTCATTTTCTTTAGACCAACATCTTATCTTCTCATGTTGGACCTTTGAGCTCTTCGGTCTAACAGCTTGATTTATGATGGAAGTGTGACGAACGTCTGTTTTCATTGATTGATTAATGAACAACACGTGTTCACTCCTCCGTGAAACACAAATACATGATGTATACAACTAAATATGATGAATATCAAAGGACAGAGACACAAGCGTTCAATAGTCGTCTTCTGCCCCCTGGTGGTGGACATGTGAACACGTTTACTCTCCTTAAAGTGTCTCTGATCACTGAAGCAACACAACAACAACCACAACCCGTAGTATTAACTAGTATTACCTATAGTATTAAATATGTTACTATATTCCATCAAAGGGAATACAGTATGAATGAGTATCTGTGGATGTAAATGTATTACATCACATCACAGCTCATTTAGACGTTTCTAAAGCGACTTACATTACATTTTTAACTCATGC